CCAAGAGAAATTATATATTCTTTTTATTAACTGCCCAACACACCTCTGTAGTATTTTTTTCTAAATTTGTTTGATTTGTAGTCTCGAAAAAATACACAAAATTAATCTGAAATTAAGGCATTCCTAGGAGCAATTCAAATGCACTTAAACACTGCTGCTGCGGAGTATTGAGCCACACAACTGTGTAACCAGATTACTCCGATGCCACAACATTGGCTTATTGATGAATCTGTGTAGGAGTTTGTCACTAGAACACTTGCTTCTTCAAGCGTTCACTGCGTTGGTGGCAATTTTGCGTACCATTTTGCTGGAACCACCAGGTTTTGTCAAGACCTGATGCACCGATTACGCTGAGAAGTGATCTGACCCGTGGGATGCGTGTGACTGCGCCCCGAGCCCCACGGGGCTCTGCTCCCGGATCTGGGGCACAAACACAAGGATTTTGATCAATTCCATTTTGTGTGGTTCCCATCAGAAAAGAAAGCAATGGGTGGCGTGTTTGTAATTATATTCATTCAATATCAACTATTTTCCTACCAAGAGAGAACTTCTGTCTTGGCCAGGCCTTGATGAAAACCAAATCCGCTGCTGACAATTTTACGTTCATCTCTGGCAGAATTCTCCGCAGACTGGCTCCTGGCTCAGCTCTCTGGCCCTCCCCTCCACCTCCTGCCCGTGGTGGGAACTGCAGGACGTGCCCACATCGTGGCACAAGCTCCCGGGCTGTGCCTGCCTGTGGGGACGAGTGGCCTGGACGCCTTCCTACACAGCGTGGGGCAGATAACTTGTCTATGCGAGGAATATTCTGTGAGCTGCATAAACATCCCACTAAGCCCAAAGGTCTCCCCAACTCACCTTCCTCTTAGCTGAACCCCCCAAATACCCACAGCCACCCTGACATCGTCCCGCAAAGGGACAGTCACACAGAGAAGTCTGGATGGAGAGAGACAGAGGTCTTGACCAATTGTGGTCCAACTGTCTGACTTTTGCACATTTTTCCAAACCATTTGGCCATCGGAACATGTTGCTAGGAATCCTTCTGGGAAAGGGAGGAGTCCATGTGAGTGAGAGGCCCCGAAGCTTCATGGACTGCCAGCAAATGTGTCCCCAGCCCAGGCCGTGAGCAAGGGGGGCAGGGGCAGGGTCCAGGGCTGCCAGGCTTCTCTCTGACCTGGCCAGAAGGCACCAGGCCTGGAACCCCGGCTGGAGTCCCAACTCCCTGGGCCTCCTGGGCTCATGACACGGCACTCTCAGGATTGCTCTGAGGGTCACCGAGAGGATTCGTTACAGCTCTTGGTCAATCTTGTACGAACTTGGCTGCTTCCCCCTCTCAGGCCCAGAAGGTTGTTCTAGAGGAACAGGCTGCCTCTTTAAAGCCGAAGGGCACTCTGGCCCTGCGGAAGGCGCTGCGTCAGGGTAATCCACTCCCCACCCTCCTGCGGCCCCCCTCTCCGCCATCAGGGATTAGAGGGGAGGCCAACGAAGGATTACAGGGGCTCATTCTGTCACAGTTCTCCCTCACTCAGCCCCTCTGTCAGAGGCCTGCTGGTCTGCGGGCTGGAGAGAAGCCCTTCCCAGGTCGGCTGACAGGCTGGGGAGCCCTGCTTGCCAGGGCCCGGAAGGCAGAAGGCAGGGACATCCCAGGGGCCGGGGGGCAGGCAGACCGCACTCATGCTCTGGGGCTCATCTGGCCTCTCCCTGCGAGGCGGCGGGAGCACCATGCCTGGGCGCCCCAGCTTCCAGCCCAACCCCAGCTGCACCCACAGTGGGGATCCTTGGCCCCAGCGACTGGTGGCCTGGTCTCCCCTGCGGAAGGCCGCGGCCGTCCTCTGGCTGCTGCTGCTTGGCACCTCCCTGTCCCCCACGCGGGGCCAGCCCAAGATTCCTCTGGAAATGTGAGCATCATGTGCAACCCACCCTGGAAAACCCTCTGCCCTTCCCCCCTTCCTTCCTGGCAGACCCCGGCCCTCTGCCCGCTCTCCCACCTGCCCTCCCTCTGGCTGCTGCACCCTCTCTTGCCGTAAGGACCTTCTCTTCACCAGCCTCCTCTCCTCCCAAAAGCTCTGCTGACTTTGGAATCCCACCCACCCCTTCCCGGAAGCCAGATGGCTTCAAGCAGGCCTGGCCTCGGGGCTCACGGGCATCTCGGTAGAGCCGGTGGCTCCGGAGCACCCGCAAGGCAGACGCCCCTCCTGGGTGATCTCTGCCCCTCCTGGGTGATCTCTGCCGGGGGCAGCTGGAGGGCAGCTGGGGTCCACGGTCGCCACAGCACTGCAGAAGACTGGTTAGGAAATTTGTATTTTGACATTCCAAAAGGGCAAAGCAGTTCTGAACCTGCAAACAGAAGGCGGCTTGGCCAGGAGCTAAGAAAAATTGGATTTTGGTGGCCTCAGTCTTCCCTTTCTATACCTTTCCGCCCCCGTAGGCCTAGATTCTACACCCTGCCGCTCAGGCCTTAGCTCTGGCGGCTCTAGGAAAGAAATTTCCAGTACATGTGGGAGCGGAGCCCTCTAGACTGAAGGGTGCCACCCACTTAGTCTGCGTCTGCTCCAGCCGCTCAAGCCCAGCAGAAGAGCAGGGACAACCGTCAACTACATCTTGTCGAAGAGGGGACAGGGAACCCAAACGACGCGCTCCATCTGTGTTTGGCCTCGCTGAGCGGCGGCTCACCATCCAGCCGCACAGCCCCGCCTGGCCCCGCGCTGGCGCTGTGCACGGGGCCTCATGAAGGACGTTGCCAGCGCACGCAGCAGTCCCGCGAGGCGGGAGTGCGATCCCTGTTCTGCAGCTGAGGAAACAGGCTCGGAGAGGCCAGACGACCTCCTCGGGCTCACATGGCCAGTAAAGGAAAGTGCAGAGCCTGAGCTCAAGGCGGCGGGGCCTGCCCTTCCACCGTGGCGCTCACTGCAGGCTGCGCACGTCCGTGGTGGAGGGAGGTGTGCAGAGCAGTCATCGTCCCCAGAGCGCACCCAGCGGATGGTGGAGGGCAAACTCCAGGAGCGGGCTGAGGGCAGGCTCAGATGGCTGGGCTCCAGGTCTTCCTAGAGGACAGCCCGAGAGCAGACCGTCCGTCCATGCAGAAACCACAGGTGGCGGCCCCGCAGCATGGCGCAGCCTGTGCCCTGGGATCCCGGTCTCTGTCCCGCTCCCTCCCTCCTGCTGGCTTCCTCCTCTGGTCTTTGCCACCCAAGGACCCCTCGGCCTCTCACGTCCAGCCCCTTGCCCCTGCCCACCTGCGCAGGCTCCCACCGCCCTACAAATCTGTCCTGGACAAGACCGCCCAAGACCCCGCTGCCCAGTCCAGCCAGCATCTCTCATCTCGTCTCCCCGGACAGCTGCTGCTCTGGACACTTCAGACATGGGCCACCCCGTCTGGACTCTGAGTGCCTCGCCTTCTGTAACAGCGCGCCTGCGAGTTCTCCCTCTTCTTCTTCCCCTCTGCCTGCCCTGAAATCGTTGGTGCTCCGGGTGTTTGTCGGCCCTCACGATCTTCTCATGCTACACACCCTACCCGCCTTCCTACCCTCAGAATCTCAGTTCTGGCGCTTGTGCTCGTGGCTCTCAGCCCTGCCTCTGCCTGTGGGACTCACCTACCCAATGCCTACAGACAGCTCTTCCCGAACATCATGTGAGGTTTTAAATTTAAGTTTGTGTCTTTCAAGATACCACAGGACTGTGCCTTCTGGAGGTGCGCAGAGCACAACCTGCCCAGCAGCACTCAGCAGCCCCGCAACAGAACTCGCGTGCAAAATAGCCCAGCCACACCGCTCGCCTTCCGCCCTCCCCAAATTGCTCCCCTACCTTCTGGATAGCCTTAATTGCATTCGATAACGCCACCCAACCTGGAGAGCCAGAAGTAACTTTTGACTCTTCCAAGCTTTTCTGTGCTCTCTACCTAGAATTCTCTTTCAGTTCTCTTTGCCAGGCTAACCTCTACCCGCCCGCTCGCACTGACCTCAGATCCCTTCCCTCACACCACGACCCCTCCTCAAGCTTCCCCGGTGCCCCTTCAGACATGCACTGTGCCATCCACACGTGAAGGGCATCCCTCTAACTGGGGGCTTTGCAAAGGCAAGGACAGTGGCTCCAGGCTGCTCACAATGCCCGGCACATAATAGGACTTCAATGAGTATTGGTTGAGGGGCTGAACGAGTGCTGATCTTGAACTCCTCTTGCCGCATCTGGACAGGCTCAGACACAGTCCTGCGTGCCACCCCCAGAGCCCCATGGGCCTGGCCCGGATGGCGGGATGGCGGTGGGCTCCCAGGGGATGGCTGAGAGCTCAGGGCTCCCCCTAGGCTGCCTACACCAAGGTCAAAGGGTCTCTCCTTGTGCCCTCCCTGCCTGCCCTGCCCTTGGCATCAACAGAAGCAGCTCAGAGCCCCCTCACACTGTCTTGCCTCACGCTGTCTTGGAGGCTTCAGCAGAGGGTTCAGCGGTCCCCAGTGGCCTAGGGTGGGGAAACACTGGGGTGAGCGACTCATCAAGACGTTGCAGCTGTGCCCGGGCAGCTCCTGTTTCATCCTTGGGGTCCTGCCTGCCCGTGCCTGGACCTACCTACCACCTCTCCCCTCCGCTCCGCTCCAACCTCCGTTCTCCAACCGGAGCCCTTAGAGGCTGGGGCCAGGCTTGGTTCTGGGCTCATCAGACCTGGTGTGGCTGGAGAGCCGCTGGGGGTGTGCAGCCCACACTGGTGCAGCCGCTGAGCCCCAGCGGGCTCTGCAGGTCTCCTGGTGGGATGGGGCTGTGGCCTTGGGAACAGGAGGAAGGACAGGAGCTCTCTGTGTTTATGTTTCTGGGTGTGTGTTGGTGTGTATGTGTGTGTGTGCGTGTGTGTACGTGTGTGTCTCTGTGCGTGTGTGCGCATCAGTGGGTGTCTGTGCACAGGCACTTGTTTGTGTGTGTGCATGTGTACGCATCTATGCCCGTGTCTCTGTATCTGTGCGTGTAGGTCCATGTGCACGCATGGACACATATACTTTCATGGCCTTGCAGAGTGAAGCTGTGGGCAGATACCTTCGGCGGGGACCTGTATACCACCGTGACCAAATACTCGGGCTCCCTCTTGCTGCAGAAGGTCAGTAACCCCTCTCCAGGGGGTCACGGGGCAGTCAAAGGGCAGTCAGCCAGGGTCTCCTTGCCGGTGGAGAAGCAGAAGCCCAAATGCCAGTGCTTCAAGGGGCCTTGGACACCGCCTAGTCCAATCCCTCATTTTCAGATGGGCAAACTGAGGCCCAGGGAGGGGAAGGATTTGCTCCCGTCTGGGCCCCCCAGGCCAATGTAGCAATGACAGCTAAGGCCCCAACTGCCCCTCACAACTCGCTCCTACGTCGCAAAGCACCACCCGACTTGAATGTGTCATTTGCGCCCTCCAGCCCAGGTGAGGAAGAGAGGGCAGTAATAACGTGGCATTTGGGGTAAAAGCATCCTATGAGGTCTATGCATTCTGGAGCATTCTCTAACGCTATGTAAATGTCACATCTCGCTGATGAGGAAACTGGTTGAGTGACTTCCCTGTGGCAGCGTGGCCGACAGCTTGCAGAGCTGGCCCACCGGACACTGGTGAGCCACACTCTCCAGGACAGCTCGTCTCCCCTGGGCCCAGAGGGTCAACTCGGACCCAGTCTAGGGTCTCTGGGTGCACCTGCCGCTTGTCAGACAGCCGTCCTGAGTGCCTGGAGCTGCTGACGCTGTGGGGACAGTGAGAACCGAGATTCACACCCATGTGTCGGGGGCGCGTCGGCAGCACGATGCATCTCCCGGTGCCCTAGGGAAAGGCGGGCTGATGCTCAGGGCGGCTGTGCAGGCCCTGGGAGGCAGCGTGGCTCTGCACAAAGTACAAGGACGTGGACATCTGGGCATCTGGGCACCCTGGCCCCATTCAGGGCCACCTGCTCACCTGACCGTTGACCTTGGTCTCGTTCGTTGGCTTCTCTGAGCCTTGGTCTACTTCCTCGTTAGGGTGGTTAACCGCAGTGTGTCTAGAGCCCCGAAACAGAGAGGATGTTGGGAGAGAGGCAGCTGTATTGTTACCGGGACGATTGTGCAAGGAGTGGGGGTCCCTGTCCTGCTTCTGGTTGAGTAAAGGAGGCTTCAGGTGCTCAAACTCACGTGCTGAAAGGACGGGGCGGTGCCTACGCGGGTGCCCACCTCTCCCGCTATCCCCTGAACAGAAATACAAGGACGTGGAGCCCAGCTTGAAGATCAAGGAGGTGGATGGCTTGGAGCTGGTGAGGAAGTTCTCGGAGGACATGGAGAGCATGCTGCGGAGGAAAGTCGAGGCTGTTCAGGTGCTCTGGGGGGGTCCCCCCCAGCCCCGAGACACTGAACGACCCTCGCCAACACCCTGCCCTGGGCCGTCCCACCCTCGTGGCCCTCTCTGAGCTTGCGAGCCTCTGCCTCGTCCCTCCATTAGCCAGAAGAGCCCTTGTAAAAGAAGAAAGGATGAGAAGGGAGCGAGGGGCGGGGGTGTCCTGGGGGTGGGAGCTCAGCCCCGAGCTGGAGGTGCCCAGCACTGCAGGGTCAGCCTGGCTGTTGAGGGGGGCTCGGCACCACGAGGTGGGCCCAGTGCCCGCTGCAGAGCGCTGCACGGAAAGAGCACCCAGGAACTGCTTCCTGAGCCGTGCACGGGCGGGAGCACAGGTTGCCTGCTGGCTAAGCGCAGCCCCAGTCCTCGTCTCCCCTCTCCCCTCCCCTTCCCTTGTGGTCCTCCCTGCCTGTGCCTGGACCTGTCCACCGCTGCTCCCTTCCCCTCCACTCTCACTTGCTCTCCCCTTCTCTCCCCTCCCCTCGTTCAGCTCCACCCACTCTGCACGTCCCCAAGTGCTCAAAGGGCCCAGGCAGCAGAGGTGCTGCAGCGATGGGTGGCCTCGTGCTTGGGTGACTCTGTTCCTGGACATCCCCTGGCTGGGCCTGGTAGAAACAGAATGTGTCCCTTCCCTGGTAGGAAGTGTCTCCCCCAGATGTCTGTGGGGACCTGGCTGGTGTAAATCAGTAGATGCAGAGTGTGGGGGAGGCGCAGTCCCCCACTCCACCAGGACCAGTGTGGCCCCCGAAGGACTCCTAAGACCAGCCAGGAGACAGGAGGGAGGCGTTGGGGGAGGGGAGGCTGGGGCAGCGCCAAGCAGCAGGGGAAGGCGCCTCCCCATTGCGCTGCCACCAGGAGGCATCCAGAGCCGGTGGCTGGGACCTTCTTTCCCGTGTGTTCCCCAGGCTTCGGGGCAAGGGCTCTTAGCATCAGGAACCAACGAGAACACACCTGGGGGTCTGAGAGCCCATCCTGGGCCCCCGAATCACACAGCCTAGCACCAGCAGAAACGCCGCCTCTCCATTGGCAAGCCTTGGGTGAACAGCCAACCCCCCCGGGCTGAGCGCAGACACAGGGGCATGAAGCTCGCCTGACTTCAGGCGTTGGTCCCTGTGGGCCCAGAGTCACAAGCTGTCCTGGGACATCCCAGAGGCTGGGGCTCCAGGCTCCCTGTGCCCTTCCGCGGCTTCGAATGTGGAGAACCAAGTAGGGGCTTGCTCGAGGGACTCTCTCCAAGCACCAGCCCCTGCTCGCTGCTGGGTGTGGGGGTCTGTGGGGGCTGCAGACCTTCTAGGAGCTGCTCGTGGGAAGTTTCCTGCAAAGCAGCACCGAAGTATGTTTTTCCCTGTGGAATTTCTTCATCATATCCTAGGAATTAGGACAGAGTGGGGACGACAGGGATTAGTCTACCCAATGTACAGTTGTGTAAGTAAAGGCCCAGAGAGGCTTAGTGCCTGGCCCCCAACAAGCCAGAGCAGGGGCTCAGGTGGTCTGACCCCCGAGGTGCCTTCCCTTCCTTGCCCTGACACTCTGCAATGCTTTTAAATCCGTGTTGTGGTAAAATATACATAATATGAAACCGACCACTGTGACCATCTGACAGCGTACGGTTCATTGGCACTAAGTCCATTCACAACGGTGCACAACCATCTCCACTGTCAAGTTCCAGAACTTTTCATCACCCCAAACAGAAGCCCTGTACCCATGAAGCAGTCACCCTCCCATTCCCCTCCCCCAGCCACTAGCAACCACTGATCTGCTTTCTGTCTGCGGATTTGCCTGTTGCGGGGTTTCACACACAGGAGACTCTGTCTCTGGCTTGTTTGGTTTAGCGTGAGGCCGTTGAGTTTCCCCGTGTTGCAGCGTGCATCGAACTTCCTTCCTTTTGCGGCTGGATAATGTGCCGCTGTGTGGGTACCCCACCTTTTGCTTATACATTCATCAGCTGATGTTCATTTGGGTTGTTCCCACCTTTTGGCTTTGAATACACAGACGCACACATGCACATACTTTAACAAACTGTTTTCAGAGCAGTTTTAGGTTCAGGCACAATTGAGCAGAACGTGCAGAGTTTCCGCACACCCCATCCCCACACACCTGCAACCTCGCCACTGCCACCACCCTGCTCAGGGGGTCCGTTGTCACCACAATGAACCTGCACCCACACATCGTCATCAGCCAGAGTTCGAGATTTACTTTAGGCTCGTTCTCGGTGCACGTGCTGCGGTTTTGACACGTGTAGTGACGTGTGTCCACCATTACGGTGTCACACCAAGAAGTTCCACTGCCCTAAAAATCCCCAACACTGACAGCCACATCTTTTCGCTCTGTCCCCAGTTGTGGCTTTTCCAGAACGTTGTGTAGGCAGCCCCCACGGCACGCGCCTCTTTTACTTGCTGACGTGCGCCCACCTCGGGCGGTTGCGGGCTGCGCTGCCCTGAGCGTTCGCGCCCGGTTCTTGTCTGAGTCGCAGTTTTCAGTTCTGGGCGTTCATCTCAAGCGGGGGGCCCGGGTCACACTCTTGGTTTAGCCTGCTGAGGACCCGCAGGGCTCCTGTCACCCACTCTCTCCCCTCCGTGTCCCCGGCCCTCAGAGTCTGGTGGAGGCCGCCGAGGAGGCTGACCTGAACCACGAGTACAACGCATCCCTGGTGGTGAGTCCTGTCCCCGCGCGGGCGCCGGGCAGCCATGAGGGTGGCAGTCCCCCGCCGCGGACGCTCGGCACGCACCGGCCTCTGCAGGGAGACGCCTTCTTGACCTCAGGAAGCTCACAGACCAAACTCTAGCATAAGGCGCGTCACAAGTCCACACAAACGGGTCACAGAGAGTCGGGAGAGAGCAGCCGGAGAAGGGAGGGCGCCCGGACGCCTGCAGACGGGGTGGCCGGGGCCGGGCCCCAGGCCGAGGGGCGTCTGGGCAGGCAAAGCGTGGAGAAGGGGCTTCCAGGTGCAGGGGAAAGAGCAGACACAGAAATGAGGAAACAGTGCTGGCTGAGGAAACGGTGGGTGCTCAGCTCCTGGGCCCAGAGGCTGGTGGCACAGAGTGGCCTCGGAGAGGTCGGCGGGGCCTGGCCGGGAATGCGAGGAGGAGTCTGGCTGCTGCGGCGGGTCTGAGCAGGGGGAGGCGGCTGCGGACGGCAGAGGGTGTCGCCGCAGCAGTCCTGGTGGGAATGATCAGGGGCGAACCCGGTGGTGAGGAGGGAAGGCGACACTCCAAGCGGACCCTCCAATGCTGCGCGTGAGAGACGGAGGGCAGCTGCTGGCTGCTCCAAGCAGACATGAGCCTCAGGCCCGGCCACCTGGGCAGGACCAGAGACACCGCAGGCGCCATTTTGGGCTCTGGACCCTCCCATGGGGCAGCAGCGGGTGGTGCTGTGGGACGTCTCCTTCTCCTCGAGTCTCTGTCTGCCGGCTCTGGCCCTGGCTGCGTGCCCCGGCACGAGGCAGGGGCCAAAGCAGTAGTCAGGACAGCCTCCATCAAACCCTGCCCGAAACGCCGTCCGCTCCTACGGCTGCCCCGTCACCCTGCCCATCGCCGGAAGTCCCCGCCAGGTGGCTCCTGGGGTCTCTCGTGGGGCCTCTGACCTGTGCCTTTCTCTCCCTCCCTCCCTCTGCGTGTCCCTGTGCCGGCGTCCGCACCCTCCCGCCGCAGTTCGACTACTACAATTCCGTCCTCATCAACGAGCGGGACGCGAAGGGCCGCTCCGTGGAGCTGGGTGCCGAGCTGGTGCTCGAGGCCAACGCACACTTCAGCAACCTGCGGGTGAACACGTCCGTCAGCAGCGTGCAGCTGCCCACCAACGTGTACAACAAAGGTAGCCTCACCCACGCGGCCCAGCCCGCCCCCCTCGTGGCGGCTGTGGGGCTGGGGGTGGCACTGGCAGCCATTGTCTCCATTCTCCCGAGAAGCCCCGCGGGGTCGTAATCTCCTGTAATCTCCGCCTTCAGACCCGGATATTTTGAATGGAGTCTACATGTCCGAAGCCTTGAACCCTGTTTTTGTGGAGAACTTCCAGAGAGACCCGACATTGACCTGGCAATATTTCGGTAGCTCGACTGGGTTCTTCAGGATCTATCCAGGTAAGGGCCTGGGATGGCATCTCCATGACCCCGTGGACTCCTTCTCTGGGAGTAAGGCAATGGGGACATTGGAGACAGACGCTGGCACCCAGGTCCCCGGTGAACGGGGCTGGTCCTTCTATCCAAGAGCACCTCCCACCCGCGGCAGGATCCGCACACACTCAACAAAGAGCCGTTGACAGTTGTGTGAGGGAAGGAATGAGCGAATGAAGCCCTCGGACACGGTGGACCAGCCGTGAGGGCCTGCATGAGCTCCTGCCCCGTGAAAAGCACCGAGGGAGCTGCAGAGGAGGATGGAACAATTCTTTACCTTAAAAAGTTTACATCCTAATTGGAAAAATGAGGCCTGCACACCCGGAGTGTTCAGCAGCCATGCAGGAAATGTCACAGGTTGCTCTGTGATCCGTGGCCAATTTAATAGTAGGGGGAAGCTCCCTGTCCACCGATGAAATAGAAGGCAGAACATGTATCACGAAGTTCCCAAGAGGTCTGCCTCTGTTTACTTCCCATTTAAAATAATTCACCTGTCTATTTCACTATTTCGCCCCAATTCATTTTTCTTTTTTAGAGGCAGGGTCTTGTTCTATCACCCAGGCTGGAGTGCGGTGGCACAGTCATAGCTCACTGTGACCTTGGACTCCT